CTTATCTATGCAGCCCTCCTATCTTGATTGGAGCATTTAATCCATTTACATTGAAAGTAATTGTTGATAGGTATGTAGTTGTTTGCCATTTTATTTTTTTTTTTTTTTTTTTTCTGTCTTAAAGAAGTCCTCTAAGATTCCTGGTAGTATGGTTTAGTGATGATGAACTCCTTTAGCTTTTGCTTGTCTGGGAAGCTCCTTATTTGTCCTTCAATTCTAAATGACAGTGTTGCTGGGTAGAGCAGTCTTGGTTGTATGTGGTTGCTTTTCATCACTTGGAATATTTCCTGCCACTCCCTTCTGGCCTGCAAAGTTTATGTTGAGGAATCAGCTGATAGTCTTATGGGAGCTCCTTTGTAGGTAACTAATTCGTTTTTTCTTGTTGCATTTAAGATTCTTTGTCTTTAAACTTGGACATTTTAATTATGATTTGTCTTGGTGTGAGCCTTTTTGGGTTCATCTTGTTTGGGACTCTGTTGTTTCCTTGGCTTGTATATCTATTTCCTTTACCAGGTTAGGGAAGTTTCCCATCATTATTTCTTAAAATAGGTTTTCAATTTCTTTCTCTCTTCTCCTTCTGGTACCCTTATAATGCGAATGTTGGTACACTTGGTGTTGTCCCAAAGAACCCTAAACTCTCCTAATTTTCTTGAATTGTCTTTCCTTTTTGCTGTTGTGATTGGGTGTTTTCTACTACCTTATCTTCCAAATTGCTGATTCGATCCTCTGCTTCATCTGATCTGTTGATTCACTCTAATATATTCTGCATTCCCATTATTGTATTCTTTATTTCTGATGGTTCTTTTTTATGTTTTCTAACTCCCATTTTTATGTCTCCTATCTCTTTGTTGAAGTTCTCGTTGAGATCATTGAGAATCCTTATAACCAGTGTTTTGAACTCTGCACCTGTTAGATTGCTTGTCTCTATTTTGTTTAGTTCTTTTTCTAGAGCTTTGTCTCGTTCTTTTATTTGGGACATGTTTCTTTGTATCTCCATTTAGGCTGTCTCCCTGTTTTTCTTTCTGTTTTAGGTAGGGCTGTTATGTCTCCTGGACTTAGTGGCCTTATGTAGTAGGTTTGCTGTGGGGCTCAGTGGTGCAGTCTTCCTGGTCATCTGAGCCACGCATTCCAGGTGTGTCTCTTGTGTGGGTTTTGTGTGCCCTTCCCTTATAGTTGAGCCTTGGTTGCTGTTTGCACATCAGTGGGAGAGATTGATTCTCAGACTCATTGGTTGTGAGGTTGGCTGTGAGTACAGTGGAGTTGCTGTGCAGGGGCTAACCCTGCAGACCAGGATCTGCCTCAGCAGAGCTTTGGTGCCTGCCCAATCTGCTGCTTAGGTGTGTTGTCCTTGGAGGCAGCTGGGTGATACACCAGCTCCTTTCAAAGCTGGCCACTGGGCACACCAGTTCCAGGGGCACTTGGGAGGGGACCTAATGAGGGTCAAGTTCAACCACAGCCTGTGCCCTACCTGGGGCCACCTGGCAGGAGCCACAAAGCAATCCACAGATGACCTCTCTCCGTGCTGTGCTTGGAAATGCCTGAAGAGGCCAAGCTACAAACCAAGGCTGGCTACTGTTAGTGCCAGACTTAGGGCTGCTCAGCCAGAGGCGCAGGACACACTCAAGACACATGCTGCTA